TAATATTTCAGTTGCAGCCATTAACATACATGCCTCTATTAAAAGTTATGTATTTCTCCTTGGGAAGAGGGTTTTTTTATTTATTTTTTTATTTAACAGTTTCTTTGTAATCGATTTCTAAATTATTTTTAAGTGCAAGGCTACTTAAACGTGGCGAAAACTACTTGAGTTAGACGTACACTTGAAACAATGGTCACTCATGAGCAAGCAGTAAACACAAGAATGTTACAGAAGGTAAATAAAGCACAAAGTGGTCTGTAGCTGCCGGCAGAGCTAGATGTGTTTGGTATGAATGTTTAAGTTCGCAGCTCCATCAGCAGTTGGATTCTGACCCTGCCCGGTCGAGTATGTGGTGATCCAGGCATCGATCACAGGTTTTGCTGCCACCGTAAGGTTTTCGATACCTCTGTAACCACGTAAGGATGAGTTTCCTCCAACCTGGATCCACAGCTGGAGAGCAGTGTACAGAAGGTTAGGGAAATCAGAATTCTTGGGACATCCTTGCCTCTGTTTGCAGAGTGCAAATGCCCATCCCGACCAATGGCCACCGGGTGCTGCTCCTTGTGCACCCCCAGATGAGGCTGGTGGGTCGATGTATTCGACAAAAGCCTCGACTTTACTGAGCTCATCTATCCCAGTGCGATTTCTGATCATATTGCTGAGATCTTGCCAGGGAAAGTCGTGGAAATGTTTGATTGCACGTACGGTTGTCACAATGCCGGTCAACATCTGAAATTCTGTTTGCTGGCATGCCTTCGCCAAGTACGGAGAGACTGGTCTCAATGACTGCTCCAACGCAGAAAACATGTCCTGCACTTCTTGGGAAGTCTGCTTTTGTTGGCTCCAGTGCATACTCAGAAAGTCCCAACCCTTAATTACCATGTTACGAGTGAAGTCAATGTTGTCAACATGAATCTCACGTCTAGCTTCAGCAATGACCTTTCTGAGCCTTGTGGTCGTGATGTTGCCTCCACTGGTAAGAATGGTAACTCCCAGGACCAGCATGCCCATAATATCATTTCGGCGCACTGTGCCTTTCTGGAGGCTTAAGGCAAATACGAGTAGGTACTCCAGTATGGCCAGTATATTCCCCGTCCGGATGGGCATGGCAGCACCAGTTTGCATGTTCAAGTTGTGGTACCCAGCCAGTGCCCACGGGTGGAGCTCATTGGCAGCAGCTACCGGTTGTGATCCCTGGGGTTGGTTATCAGGCGTACTTGCGCTGAGCACGTACGTTTCCCAGCACGTACATCAGTGATCCACACAGCCCAGTGAGCTGGGTTGATGCAGATAAGCCCGTTTGCATCTGGTTGAACCGGAAAGCCAACGGGCCAAGGATTCCAAAGTCCATTAACCTCAAGTTCGAAGGGAACAGTGATATCATCTACATCCATCGCATTGGGCCCGAAGGACTCGATGATCAAATGACGAAGTTGGTTCTCATTCATGTACATTTTGTTGTCAAGAATAGAAAGTCCTCCTGCCACAGCACTGAGGGATATTACTGCCTGTATCAAGTCTGGGTTCTGGACCATTCGTTCGTCTCGGAGAGCACGACCCTGCTGGCGAGCGAGGATCCCTCTTGCAAGTTGATTAACATGTCCTCCTAGTGAGTTGTGTGGAGGGAGTAAACGCATCAATTGACTTAACCCACCTCCTCGCAGCATGGCTAAACCTCCCAAATGAAAACTCATTGAGACCAATTGCACTGTCAATGTAGAAGAAACTACAAAACAAGCCAAAGAGTTTTAAAACTCTGAGATTTCTTTGATATCTGCCTCTATCAGATATTTCCCTGTGGAAGCAACCTGCGCCAGTCTATGATTTGCACATTTGAGTAGATGATGACTGATGGGCAGAAAGTAACGAACAGTATTTTTCAACGACTCTTTTTAGTGTTATGTATGTACTGGATCAGGCTGTCTAACATCAGAGTGTTTATGCATCCCCAACTTTTCCCAGTCACTGTAAATGCACCGCTCATGCTGCCTGCTACGGGGAGTGAACAAGAAGCTGTTAAATCAGGCTCAAGTCGAGACCTCCGCCCGCAAACGCCAGTAGTGCATTCATGTGCTCCTCGGATGGTCAGTCCTCTAACTTCAGTCTGTTCATGAGCTTTTAGTTGTAATTTGCAAACAGCATGGATGCTACCAAGAAGATGTGTTGTATATTATCGCTCAGAATGTTTAAACATTCATTGGTAATGAATCACAAAAAGGAAACGGATCAGGTGAGTGATGAAATTCGATCAGAAACAAATTTTTCAGATTATTCCGACACCAGATGAATGCAGCAGAAGGCTTCAAACACTGCTGCTACTTGCCCCTCAAAGAACATTGTAACATCATATTGAGCATACATAGCCTACTAGATACAAGCAGGGTTCTGAATTAATGCATTATAATGAGCACTTTGTCTTCATTAATTTGAACATGGCCTATACAATACAATAAGACTGTTAAACACAAAGGTGTCAAACATACGGCATGGGGGCCAGAACCGGCCCACCAGAGGGTCCAATCCGGCCCTCTAGATAACTTTGCACACCTAATGTTGATGCACATGTGAGGGCTGAGAGGTTTCAGGAGCAATTTAAACAGTGAGCAGATACTTCATGTAAAATATTGCCTCAGAGGCTTTTCTACTCTGACCAGAACACAGCTCTCTGAAATAACATAAGTACTTTCTATGGTCATATTTAAAGATTTTGAACACTGTGCAAACTATTGTCAACCAGCAGCTTCAGTACAAAAGAATCTGTATCAGACTAATATCTTCAAACAATATTACAGGAACCCTGCTGCTGAGGCACTGACAAAACTTCAGATTGTAAGGCAGGGGATGACTTAACATGCTTCTTCTATAGCTTCCGTTTCAGTGGGTAATTATGAAAATAGTCACATGTAATGTCAGTGAATAGTAGACTGGCTGAATGTGGAAAAACGTAGACATACTGTTGAATTTGCACATGATTTTTCTTTCTTCTTCGTTTGGTAAATGGGTGAAAGTTTTTGGAATGAAACAAAAATTCTAAGGGGTTGATATTTATAGGTTATTATGCAGTGGTTTCAGGGGTCATGTCCACTTGAGATCAAAGTGGGCTGTATTTGGCCCCTGAACTAAAATGAGTTTCACACCCCTGGTTTAACACCTCCTGAATCCAGTCACACACACAGTGCGGCAGTAGCTCAGTCCATAAGGACTTGGGTTGGGAACCGGAGGGTTGCCTGTTTGAGTCCCCGTCCGGACCAAAATATGGAGCGTGGACTGGTGGCTGGAGAGGTGCCAGTTCACCTCCTGGGCACTGCCGAGGTGCCCTTGAGCAAGGCACCGAACCCCCCAACCCAAGCTTGGGGCGCCTGACCAAAGGGCAGCCCCCTCACTCTGACATCTCTCCACTTTGTGCATGTATAGGTCCTGTTTGTGCATGTGTGTGTCTTTCAGACCTGTGTGTAATTGACAAGCAAGAGTGAAAACATTGAATTTCCCCTCAGGGGGATTAATAAAGTGAATAAACTTAAACACTCACAAACATCACATTGGCCACAACTGGACTGGACTGTGGAATGTGTTTGCAATTGTAATTTGATTTTTCATTTCTATTTATGAGCTTATTTTAACTTATCTTATTTTATGTCTATTTTAATGACTAGTAATACATTGAAGTGAGGTTTTGCGGGTGAGAAGCATTAGCTGTTAATGGTGCATACTATAACAGAGTGTCAAGAAGCAACTGACACCATATTTCGTAAAAAGTATCTGAACATGAAAGGTTTGATATATGAACATTTAGCCTTTAATGGAATCGATACTGTGAAAAGAATCGTACTGCCCCTGAGCCCTTCAATTTGTTCTCTTCTATGGCTCTGGACTGCCCATCACAAGAAAACGTTTCAACTAAGTCTCGCGACATTTTAGTGTGGCTTTGCCCCTCCCTGTGCCGTCATTGGTCCCTGGCTCTCCGTCTGACTGAGCATGTGTATGTGCCGCTTAGCTGTTAGCATTTAGAGATGGCCGCAGACAAGCAAAACGACGCCAAAGTGTCCTCCGTGGATGAAAATAAAGAAAATGCTCCGGATGGGGGTCTTGGACTGGAGAGTATCCTTCCCAGCACCAGTCGTGTAGCGGCGGTTTTGTTCTTGCTCCGGTGAATCTGTGTTAGGCTCAGAAGCTAACGTTAGCTTGCTAGCTAGCTCGGTTAGAGGATAATGTTAGCCTGCGTTAGGCTACGTGTCATACTGAAGCAGGCTGTCAGTGGCAGGCTTAAAAACAGACTTACGTGGCTTGTCAAAAACTATATTTGTAGTCTTAGGACCTTAAATTAACTAAGAATGTTTGTTAATGCGTGTTGCTGTAGAAATGTTTATTTGTTCACTTAAAACTTTTGTAACCTTTGAGTTTCAGTAGCAGCTGTGTTGTCGTTCCAGCAACACTTCACAGCATTACAGTCAGAGCGTCTGGGTCTGTATGTACAGTGCTGATATGACTGTTATATTCATACGTGAATATGAATGACAGATGTTGAGTGTCATGTATGTGTAAGACATAGATGAGGTTGTCCCTTAACATTGATTCCCAGTTTTGCAAATAATCAAGGAGTCCCAGCAGCAGCATGGCCTCAGGCACGGAGACTACCAGAGATACAGGTGAGCTGTGCTCAGCCATACATGGCACATAAACTTGCACCAACTGGACCATAGCTACAGAGATGTGTGTGGTGACATGTCCAGTGTTGAATGACTGTTCACATGGAGGTGCACACTTTTTCCATGATCACAAGGTTTTCATATAGTGTAACTGTTTGCTTGTTATGTAAATTGACCACTCTGTCAGTGACATTTTTCCAATTTCCTGTGTATACAATACAGTATTTTATATTGGATACCAAATTGTTGTTTTATACACTGAGAAGAAGCTGTTTGCATGGACACATCTGCTGCCATATTATTCACAGGAGACTGCTGCTGTACAAATAGCTTATACTTAATTAACCACACTTGTACAATCAAATGTGATCAAGTACAACAGTAAAATTGCAATGCAGTGTATTTTGCACACATGGTTGTCATAACTTTAACTCAAATGGCTCAAACAAGAAATCCAGAAGGAGAATAACAAGTCTTTCTAGACAATTTAGTGTAATAGTTAAAAAATAAATAAATAAATAAATAAACAAAACAAAAAACCTGCAATTACATTGGAGTAAATGACTTGACTACTGCATTGTTATCATATCTGTTGTGTGAAAGCAAGATAAAATGTTTATGTAAGTCTTCATTTACTGTAAAATAACCATCTCTGTGTACCTGTTTTCAGGGGTTACTGCTCCCGCAGACTGCGTCGCCTGCGCAAGACTCTTGGCTTCAAGATGGGCAACCGACACAAGTTCATAGGGAAGAAAATAACAGTCGAAATGCTTTCTGACAGCAGGTAAGGAATCGAAAGTGTGAGCTGTACATTCATGTGCATTTAACTAGCTCTTACACAGTATGTAACAGTTTTACACACAGAAACTGTGTTTGATTAAGTGTAATAAAAGTACATCACAGAGGAATTTGGTCAGTTTTTACCAGTATGTAGTGGCTTGTTGTCTGCATTAGACATGAGTCTGCAACTGGCTTGGTACACCTTACTAGAAACAACAGAACTGAAACAGACCTTGTAATGAATATTTTTGCTGAAGATAATTTGCTGCCTCTGTTGACTTTGGATATGAATGTGTCCACTAAAAATGGTGAAAATACAACTGATGCAATGACCTCTCCCTCTTCAGGTATCTGTTGCTGGTTTTGATGGAGGCTGAGCGTGCATGGAGTTATGCCATGCAGCTGAAGCAGGAGGCCAACACAGAGCCACGTAAGCGCTTCCACCTGCTGGCACGACTACGCAAGGCTGCCAAGCACAGCGAGAAGCTGGAGAAGCTCTGTGAGAGCCCTCGTGTTGACGCCAAGACCAAACTTGAGGCACAGGTACGCACGACTCAGTCACCTTCAGCCTGCTTTTAAATTCAAAGTGAATGTGTATAGAATATTTATGTCCAATGAGATTGCAACAGTTTCAGAAGTGTTCTCAACCTGTCGTATTTTGACTGTACACTATTTTTGATTGTCGCATGCTCTATATATGAAACAAAATTACTAACAAAGTTGATAGGTAGGATTTATTATTTAAAGCTGTGTTATAGGGAGCAAAATTCTCTAAATCTTACAACATCCACTTCAGAAGGGCTTTTATATTTTATTTCAGGCCTACACAGCATACCTGACTGGTATGGTGGAGTTTGAACTGCAGGAGTGGAAGCTCGCCATGGAGGCCTTCAACAAGTGCAAGTCAGTTATAGCGTCAATACAGTTTCTTTATACACTGGCAGAATAAGTGACTGTGTGTTTGTCATGTATGTGTTTATATGACCTTTTGGAAATTTTAAACAATCCCATTTTTGTCTTGTCAGGACCATCTATGAGAAGCTGGCCAGTGCTTTCACTGAGGAGATGGCAGTTCTGTATCGCCAACGTGTGGATGAGATATCACCCAACATCCGCTACTGTGCTTACAACATTGGTGAGTAACATATATGGGTGGGGTGAAACAAGATGGCGGCTGTGTGGCTTGCCCCGGTACAAGCTCTGTTTCAGTGTCTTGTACTTCTGTGTACTTCATGTGTTGATAAATCGTGACCTCTCACCAACACAAATAGTTGTACCACACTAGAACTTCATGTCAGTCCTGCATATGGCGTGTGAATTTTGTTTTATGTTGTGTGACTGATGTGATGTTAATGTTGTCTATGTTTGTTGTAAACGACTATGTATTGAGCTTACGCACCATGCTGTACACAAAGCAAATTCCACCAACTGCTGCCATGTGGTCCTCAATAAATGATTGATTGATCCCCTTCAACATAATTGACAGCCGTCTTAGACTCACTTAAGCATTCTGAGACATTGTTCAGATGAACTCTGTAACTGAATTTTTTTCTCTGTCTGATTGTAGGTGACCAGAACGCCATCAATGATTTGATGCAGATGAGACTGACAGGTGGAGGAGGAGGCATGATGGCTGAGAAACTAGAGGTGAACATACAGAAGTCAGACAATAGTTTATTTGCTTGTATTATCTTTCATATATTGGTGATGCCAATGTCAGGGGTGGAACACACACCTGTTCCTCAAATTTAAATTTAATCTCATTAAAAAGTAAGCTGAGTAAATGTGTGTGCATATGTTAGTATAACTTCAAACAAGATTGAATTACTCATTGATGAAATCCAAAGATGTCTTGGCTCTTGTGGATCAGAAAATCTGTTTTATAGATATATTTAAAAAAAAACGTTCATTTCTTTTTTTAATTCTTCTCAGGCCCTGATCACTCAGGCAAGAACTAAGCAGGCAGCCACCATGAGTGAGGTGGAGTGGCGAGGGCGAACGGTGCCCGTCAAGATCGACAAGGCCCGCATCTTCCTGTTGGGTCTGGCAGACAACGAAGCTGCTATCGCTCAGGTCAGTATTTTGTCAGTTTACCTGCTTTGTAGGGGGTCAAAACAAACTGTGTTGCCAGCAGCTCTTAAAGGTCCTGTGTGCAACATTCAGAACAATAATATAGCAGCAAACACCTCGTTGCTATGTAAAGATACGGCAGAGAATGTAGCTGCGCGAGTTCGATGTGTGTTGTGATGTGAGCTTCTTTGTGGTTTGTTGTGGTAAGCTTGTCTGGCCACGCGTGCATGTTAGCGCATGTATGTATCCCACTTGCTAGCTCATCACTGCCAATTTGCACTGCGCTCATACAGTAGTTAGTGCTGATATTGGAATGCTATCATCGCGGAAGCATGGCGCCCACGCCACACTTCCCCCCGATTAATACCATTAGCTCTATCAGCAATGTTGCCGTTGTTTTATGCTGTTTATGGAGTTAGCACTGCTAGCTGCTAGCCACCAACTCAGCCAAATATGTCCAGGCAACTCGTATGCACTGACTTTCACATAGAACCCCTTTGAATATCATTACATGCCAGTACTTAAAACATACATACATGTTTGGATGTCCCTGTGTCCTATTAGTCTAAAGCCCACATGATACTTCTTGAATCCATGTAGTTTCAAGTGTAGTATTAACACAATCTTTAATACTTCCACTTTTTATGTCTTAACACCCATTTAATTGCAACATCCTGATTCAGTTCAACTTGTTGCAAGTCAATCTCCCTTGCTCTATCTTCAAGGTTCTGTCTGTGTCTCCATCTTTATTTCTAAAAAATACCTGCTGCATAGTTTACGACATTCTCTACACATTGTGGTCTCAATGCTTCATTCTTACCTACCTAGTCACAGTGTAGTCTAAGAGCGCATTCACACCAGGATAGTTCGGGGGACTTGATTCAATTGGGTGGGGAATGCTGACAAATTTCACACCTTCATTTGGTTTGGTTCACTCTCAAACTGCACTTTTTCAAGCGGACCAAACCGCCTGGACAACGTCACGCAGTTACAACAGCTGCTTGTTAGGGGGCGGTATTGCTCGAAACGACCACTGACCAGGAATAAAAAAGCGTGAGGAAGAAGAAAACCTGGCTCATTGATTGGCCAGGACTGAAAACGGAAATCCACTTGCACTGTTGGCTTTGTTTGTTTGTTTTCTCCCGAAAATGCACTGCGCTCTACGTCTCTTCCTTTTTTGGTTCACTTCCTCTCTTTGGTTCACTGGGTAGCCTGTTTGCATTTCCTACTGAAAGCGAACCACACCAGGGTTCATTTGCAAGTGAGCTGAGACCCCCAGTTTTCAAGCAGACCAGGGTTCGCTCGTTTGGTCCGCATCAGAGTTCGAATGAGCGTTCGCACCACTCGAAACGCACCAAACTATTCCGTGGAAGCGGACCAGGGCTCATTTAAAGCAGACCAAATAGTACCAGTGTATGTGTCCTAAATCGTTAGCTTATGCCACATACAAAAGCAAACTATAGATCAACACTGTCATGTGAAATCTGCAGCCTCACAGTAACAGTTTTCTGATGGCAGTATGTTTTTTGTTGTGCTGAATCAGAAAATGCTCTCTGAAGGGTGTCCACTTTGAACTGGTGGATTTTAAATGCTACACCTAATAAACTCTGCTTTGTTGGATGGTTAAGACCCTTGCTCCTCAGTTTTTCATAGGTACACATGCTGTCCCATGTCCTTAACTTCCCTACCAGTGTGCACATCTGTCTGGCATCAAGATGTCAATTGTAAAATCTCAAAATGGGCGTTTGAGCACAACACCTCCTCCTTACATCAGTCCATGCAGTTTCTTAAACTTTCAGTAGGTGGCACCCTCCTCTTTACTGTCTTGCCTGTCCCCTCTCTGCCGCCACAGCTCATTCCTCCAGTCTTCTTATGCCAGAAGACTCAGCACACCCTGCGGACACACCTGTCACACCCACAGCCACTCAGGTCTCTGGCATGCAGCCTCTGTCATTGCACAACTGCATTCTGTGCATTTCAGCCCACACATGAATATGGGGCTACACCCAGCAGGTCTCTGTGGACAGATTAGTATTATCTCAAAACACCTTTCAGTTTCAAATGGGCTCTTCTGGGACTCAGCTGTAGTGTTGCAGTCTATTGTTGAGCTAATGGTGGCTGTAACTTTATGTGAAGCTACTGAAGCTGAACTATTTTGTTTTTAAGACTGCGTGACCTACTTAATTAAATGACATCCTCATCAGCTATCTTTGTAAATGATAGAATAAATGTTGTAAAATTAGCAATGTTTGGTGCCATTAGTCCCAGATTGCTCAGTAGAAAGTAAGAGTATGTCACACCAGCACCTCAAGTTTCTCTAGTGTCACCCTGATCCCCAGCTGTTGGCTTCTGGATACAGGAACACCATATTGGGCCATACCACAGTCCTAGTGGAAGAGCTCCGTCGACTCCTCCTGTCTCTAATCAGTTTATCCGTCCAGCCCTCCCTCTGAACAAGAGAGGATGCTCAACCGGTTGAGCCGGTCACGCTAGGCGTTGCCAGGTTGTTGGCACGAGAGTGTCGCACTAAATAACATCAGTCTTCTGGGTGGATGAGAGCAGCCGTATGACCTGTTTATTATCAGTTATCACTACGAGGAATTCTCTCGTAACATTCCTCCACTGTGTTTCTACGTAGAGGGTTTTTCTTTTAAGGTGAAGATGTGACAATACTGTCATCCATAAAGGTGTTAAACAACGTTAAGTTGTTCAGAAAAAAATGATACTGTAGCAACATTTCTCATGTCATTAATTCTTAGATTTGCCAACATACAGTAATCCAACATGGCCTCTTTCTTTAAATATGAACATGGTATGTCCTGTTGACATCTGAGACTATCATAGAGTAACACAGGCCCATTGTATGAGCGTATCGATGAAAGGAAGGTGAGGTGAAGAACAATCCTGTCATTCACAAAGATGTGAACCCTGAAACTCCAGTGTGTGACTGCTGGTGAGTTGTGTGCAGGAATGTATCGGCAGCCTGCTGGGCCACATACCTTTGCCTCTCACCCAGTTTGGCAAAGTCACATCCTGCTTATACTGTTGCTCTCTTCTAAATGGATGAAATATTTGTGTGTGCATGATTGACTTTAATTTGTGCAAGTGTAGCTTTAATCAGGTGGAAGATGGTTCTAAGTCTGACTGTTAAGATATTTAGGCCAATATGTCTACGTCTTTCTTGCTTTTATATTTATTATTTTCCATCTTTTAAGACATTTGTTGTTGTTTGTGTTTGTTGTAACCACTCAAAGTAGGGGACAATATTTGTTTCTATGGGCTACGGGGCAGGTTTGGTGTCGAAAATGTAACTGTTTCCTCCAAGTTCACAAAGAACACATTAAACCAAAGTTGTCCCCTCCCAAATTCCTCTGGATGTTAAACCTGTTGACATAGTTTCATGATTCATTTTTCTTTCTTAAATCCCTCTGCACCTTTTGACATTTCATAACTGTAGCAGAATTGCACCATGGCTTCATATAAGGCACTGATGCATCACGCATTTTTATTAGACTGTACATTTGTAAAGGATGAACTGATATGCCGGGAGGTCAAGAGAACTGATGCATATGTACTAAGTAAATGCCCAAATTCTGAAAACATGACGGTACTCATTTTTCTCTGGATCTGACGGGGCATCATATGTCCCCAAGTGGTTTAGTCTGCCGGTAGAAGCCAAAGGAAGACGGGGACAGGTGCAGCTGCAGTGACGGCTCCACCACAAAGTGTTTTGGTTTTTTTTGTTTTGTTTTTTTGGGAGGCCAGCATATTTTGTTAATGGAAGCACCCTGTGTTTACGCTGTACTACAAATGCTAGCAGCGTCTAATCTCAGAGCGTTTTTTTGTTTTTTGTTTTTTTTTTTTTTTGGTCTTCCAGTCGGCCTTCCAATCACATTGTAGTTTTCTGCGGAGACTCTGCTCTCTGCCTGTTGTTACATATTTTCTGTTTTCAGGACTTTTATGGGTGTGTACCCCCACAGCTCTCAGGTGAGGTCGCGGCTTTATAAAAAGCTAGCGACCAGGTGCGAAGGAGTGAATCGGGATGTCGGCTTTTACATTGACTTTCACTGGCGAGCGTGTTAACTGTCAGTAACCAACAAACCTGCTTAGTATACCTTTTTAAATGCTGTTTTCTGATCTGCTTAGTTAATTTGCTGTAGTGAGCAAATGGTAATGCATAAACCTACTACTACTGCTGATGGTGGTACATCATCATATCCTGCATGTGTTTCAAATGCATTTTAATGTGAAGGCAATATTAATTTTTGTCATTATGAAGCAGGAAGCATGGTTGGTGTTAAATAGTCATTATGTTCCACTATAGATGTTGATTACTGTTTCTGTTGTGCAGACAGCTAATGAGGAGACCAAAGAGCATCTGTATGAGACCCTGCTGGCCGAGTGCAGAGACACCATCCAGGCTGTGAGAGAGGAACTCAAGAGTGAGGCGGTAAGGTTCAAAAGTTGAGATATTTCGGTGGAGAGGGCTGTGAGTTTGTATTTAGGACCTAGATGTTTGCTAACAGATAATAGGCATCAATTTGATTTTCATCTTACTAAGTGAAGACGTGATGTTAAAACAATAATGTAATTTTTAAAAAAAATGTTATTTATTGCTTGTCTTTGTAGAAGCAGCGAGAGAGAAGCTCTGATGCTGACAGTGGCAAGGTGTCCAACCTGCAGTTCCTGCACAGGTAAAAGAAACACGTCTACTTGAAAGGATCAGACTTCACATATTTTCTGTCTTTTGAGAAAGCTGCTGTGTCAGGTCATGTCATCATGTTGTCTGGCTTTAACGAACCATTAGTTTCATCCACCAGTTCATTTCTCCATTCATTATTTTTGACTACATTACCAGAAAACGTGGCAGTTAGTACATTTTGTTAGGTCAGCGGTCAAAAACCCAGAGATATTCAGCTACGATCATGTATTGCAAAGAAAAGCACAGTAACATATACAGTACATAGGCCTTACCATAAATAAGTTTACGCCCTCTGATAATTCTGTTACATTTATCCACTCAATAAGTAAATAATAAATGTGCTGTTGGTCTCCTCCCAGTTACCTGACCTACATCAAGCTGTGTACATTGGTGAAGAGAAATGAGAGCATGGCCCACACTCTGCAGGCTAAACTGAAGGAACCGGAAGCCGACGAGAACAAGAGAGGGCCCCGTCCACAGGACCTCATCCGCCTCTATGACATCATCCTGCAGGTAAACGTCTGGGCATAAATATATTGTTATCCTTTTAATCATAAGGCTATCCGTCTGGAGTAGTAGTTCAAAAATGAAGATAGATGGTTTTTTTCAGCTCACAATGACAAAACAGATTCACTGCTTTATGTCCATTAGTCGTCCATAAAAGCTGCATTTATTTAAGTTAGAATAAGTAGTAAGAAAGTGGCTCTTAGTTGCCAGTTACTCGCAGTAGCTGTGTGAGAGTGATGAGTTGTTTGATTTGTGTTGCCACCAGCGAAGGGATGTGTACTTTGCCTTGTTTGACTGTCTCTGTCACGGTGTAAGCTTCTGTTTCTCCTGTTCTTCTGTTTCTCCTCGTGTTCACTTCCTGCCTCCCCTTTTACCTCCCAAACATTCTTCTGTTTGTCTGTCTCTCCAGAGTCTGGCTGAGCTCTCCTCCCTGCAGGGCCTGGAGGATGACCACACCTTCCAGAAGGAGGTGTCCCTCAAGATGCTGGTATACAAGGCCTACAGGTCAGACATTTTTGGGTTGCAACCTCCTAATAAAAAAAATACAACTAAGATTCAAATAGTAAGGTGTTGTCTGGAAACCTTTTAATGTGCTTGTAAGGCAATTAATGTTCAGTGCTGCCATGTATTAGTATGACATCCATGAGCCCATAATGTACTCTTGCAGCTGCTGTCCTCTTGAAGTCATTTCTCTTTTTCTTTGAATAAATACATACACTCATGTGGTCCTTCCGTCTGTACCTTCACAGGTGTTTCTTCATAGCTCAGTCTTATGTGCTGGTTAAGAAGTGGAGCGAGGCGCTGGTGCTGTATGAGAGGGTGCTGAAATACGCCAAGGAGGTTCAGTCTAAGGCCAAGAGCCTCAACAACAGCCTCAAGGTTGGTCATAGAAAAACACACACAAGCACCACAATTAAAAACATCAGTTCACCAACACTTGTACTCGACCAGAAACATGACTGTTGTATCTGGTTTCTGCAGGATCTCCCTGATGTTCAGGAGCTCATTGCCGAGGTCAATGCTGAAAAATACTCCCTTCAAGCTGCTGCTATTTTAGGTGAGTGCACCCTTTGAACTAACAGTTATCTAGCCAGCTCATTTACTTATACCATATGAGAACCTATTTAGTCCCATTCTTCTCTTTTCTGCCTCATTCTGTGTAAAAACCTGTAGGAAATGTTTGTGTTTCAGATACTGATGAGACTGCTGAAGTTCCCACTCAGCAGCAGGTGAAAGACAACACGGTAAGAGGCCAAAATCAAGAGACACGCCACACCATTTCATTTTGTTTTATTTTTTAAGGGGCTGCTGTTGTGCTCATTGAAGGCTCTTTCTATCTGTTGGAGAAACTGCCAACCAATGAGAGTTTAGTAGGCAGGATTAAGAATGTCTTTATTCATAGCTAGCTAAATGGCAACCAAAAAAATAACGCCACAGTTCAGAAAAACATGACATTGATGCAACTGTAAAGGCTTTTTGTAGGTGGACTTGCATAATAACAACTCTTAGATTGGTATTTAGTTTCTGTGATTATCATGAAAACGTTAACTGCTTACGCGCCAGCTGAAAACGTGATGACAATGATTAGTAAGAGCAAAACAAAAATAAGAGATAAAGCTAAAGTGAATACAGTGTCAGGCAGCATTAAGTGAAGTGCATAGCTATTCTGCCTGATTATCAGGCTATCAAGAATGTTACACAAAGCAGTAACAACAAGCGAACAACATCATGCCAAATTTGTTTTACCCTGTGTCTTCTGAAAACTGTCTAGACACAGGTAGAACAGGTAAGATGATGGCTTTAGGTCAAGGGGATTTCATTGTGCCTTGTGGTTGTACCAGCTACAAACAGGGCATACAAGTAAGAAAAGCCTTGGTTGTCATCACAAGAAAGGACACAGGATGCCAGTTGATGTCTTTCAAGGTCTTCACAAAAGAGTTGTGTTTACAGCAGCATGCCACTCTCCTCTACTCTCACTCTGTTGGTCATATTGTAACACCGTGTCTAACTGAACACGATGCAAATGAGAGAGCGAATATATCAGATTGTGTCAGTGTTTCCCAATGAAGATGTCCTAATGTGCTCTGTGTGTCAGCGAACAGGCTAAGTGGTATGTTGCTTGTTTGAAAAACTGCTCACCCTGGCTCTAATTTGGTGAAGCTTCACACACCTCTGATCTTTTTGCAAGCAACGGCAAGTCCTTGCTTCAGCCCGCTCAGGGCTTGATAGACTTCCTGATTGTTGTTCACAGTGTATCTGGACACTTTTGCGCTCCAGATGCCTGAATTCACTCATCAGTGTATTTTAGGAAGAGGTGTAAAACTCTTGAGGTCAGACCAATCAAAATAACAAATGACAATCTTCGACCATGACAAAAACATTAAACCGTCATATGTTTTCCGAATCCCATAGTTTTGATATGCTGGATGTCTGAGTTATTCATGGTTTGTGATCATCTGTGAATATATAATGCTCACTTTCTTTCTTTTTCTTCCTGAATGCAGCCCCTCTGCAACCGCCTTGAGACCTTCCGCTTGGATCCCACTCTCGTTGGAAAGCAGCCCAATTTGGTCCAGTTCCCTCCCGACTTCCAGCCAATCCCCTGCAAGCCTCTGTTCTTCGACCTTGCGCTCAACCACGTGGCCTTCCCACCCCTGGATGACAAGGTGGAGCAGAAGGGCAAGGGCGGTCTCACCGGCTACATCAAGGGCATCTTTGGCTTTGGCAGCTAAATCAGTCCCGCAGGCTTCAGTTTCTACAGTAGAGCCACGAGGCCCCGAGTTTACCCCAAACAACCAGACTTGGGTCAGTTGTTAATTAGAATAATTAAAATTACTTTTACGTTTTGAATTAGTGCCTAAGTGCAAGAGGGGTGGAGTTTGCAAATCTGAGGAAGGCAGACTGAGTCTACTCTTCTATAATCTTTCTTGGAAGATTAATCCAATCAGTTTCAAGTAGCAATATGACCCAAGTTCACCTGCCATCTTTAGTAATAACATCAGGCTGCATGGGTTCCTAGTATAAAGGCTCCCTCCTTAATTTGAGCTGTGGAGGTGTCTGTGACTTTCAGGTTTTACAAGTTACCCTGCCTTGGTCTCCAAGTACAGCCAAGTTGTCAATCTCACAGTCCTGTTAGAGTAAAATACACCACTTAGGCATCATTAGTAGTTATCCTCTTTTATTCAGTGTTACGTAAGCGCCTTCATGTAATTACGTGTCATTTTTGTCTGTATGTGAGTTGTTTTCAGCATCGTTTCTTAAAATTTGCAAAGTGCAGTTTTGATACAGCAGCTACTTTGACTTTAAAAACAAAGTAGCGCTCCTCTAATAGTATAGATATCCTGTGACATGTAGTCCAACAAACTGAAGCCGTTTTATCAATCATCACAGTTTTACAAGACTTCAGCTGTGTCCACCTTTGTTGTGGTCTCGCCTGCTTTTGACGGTACATTAAGACACCAATTTGTGATTCAAAACTTCACTTTGTACACTGACATCACAATACACTGAAAGATGAGAGCTATAGGGTGGAAATGCAGCAATAAACTGGATTTGGTTTGCTGTCAAAAAGCACAAGAAGAAAGATATCTTGCCACCCTTGTGGTCCGTCTTTTCTAAGTGGCTTCTACTGTGTGAAGTCATGTGAGCAGTACTGTTACCTTCAAATGGATGAAGACTAAAGTAATGAGAAGAATTTGGATAAAGCTTTGAAGTTTTAGGTGCATCAACAGGACGATGAAAGACAAAGCCATGAATCAAATTGTGAAATGTTGTTTTTCTTCAAACAGTGAATGATTAAATATTGTCAGCTGCAGCCTGCAGAGGTAATGCTGTATATGTTGTCCCGTATGACATTCGGCCCTAAACTTGCATTATTTTCGAGAAGGGTCCAACTGCTTCAACACGTCTAGATAGAAGCCTCATTTTTATCACCTCAGTGTCTGTTGTTTTCAAGGCACATTTTCTACAGAAGGGTTTGCTGGCTGATGACTGTGACGTAACAGTGCAGCTCCTCAAACTACTTAATTCATGTAATGTTTTTATTTTTACATTTTGATTTGCATTTCAGCAACATAAATGTTGCAGTAGACATTCAGGAAGTGAAGGAGTTCTTAGCAGCCTTTCATTCATCACACCACCACACCTGTTTGTCCATCACTAGTAGGCTTAAAGTGTTTTCATCACCAACGACATGTCTATGGACATCCTGTAATGCTAGAAAAATATTTTGTTTTTTGTTGCAAACAGCTGAAGTCGCTCATTTTGTCTGACCTTTTTAAGGGACCTGGTTTGCCTGTGATACCTGGTAAAACACTATCTAGAGGACTGTGTCAGTGTCACTCTCCTTCTCTGACATTTCACTGTTTTGCTTACTAATTTTTATCAGTGTCTTCAGTTTAAATCATTGTTTTTTTTCCCCTCAGTGTTTTATGTTATGAATTGAGAAGGATGAGCTGGAATAGTTCCAGTACTTTACCTCGAATTGACCTGGAAAACAATTTGTCATGATGAATAATTGTTTGAAACATAAGTGGAAAGAGAAATGACATGATGAGAATGTATGATTTGATTTAATTTCCAGGCGTACGATTAAAATATATTTGCACCAAATGCTGCGTACCTGACATTCTTCATTCACTTCTGTGGACAATTCAGTGACATTAGTTTTAACTTAAGGTGAATACCATCTTAATAGTAATTCCAATGTTATTTCCATGGCCCAGGAAAGTTAGATCAATATTTGTGAACACAAGCTACTCTCTCTCAAAGCCAGAAACCAGAGAAGATGGATAGATAGACTAAGCACAAAAGTAAGGAAATTTGTGTTTGGTAGATTATTTCTTTGTTTTAACAATGCTTCTTGGCAATAAATCTTATACCGTTGGAAAGCCTGTTTATTTTCCTTTTAAATGGTGGCACATTTTTAAGGAACATGCATTTGTGGGATGAGCAGCAGAGCTAAGTGTGGTTTGTGCCCATGAAAAATTTGCCAAATCCTCTCTGCCAATGCCAAACAGCTTCCTGTTTTTTTGCTGTTGCTATTGACTCTTGTTTTGAGCTTCTGGTACCCCCAGGTGCTGACAATCAGGTGCCAATCAGGCACCTGATTGTCAGCACCTGTGAGCATGGGCCCTGCTATAGTGGTCAGTTGGTGTCTGCTCCAAGAATCGGCATGCCACGTTTGACTGATCTGGATAGGGCCCGTGCAATAGAGAAACTTCAAGCTAGTGTTCCTCAAAACCAAGTTGCGGCATTATTTGGAGTGCGCCCTAATACCATCTGCAAACAGAAGGCCAAGTTCCATCTAATAGGAGATGTCAGAGACAGGCTGCGAAGTGGGCGTCCCAACAAGACAGCACCCCAAGAAGACCGTTTCCTCATCATGTCAGCACATAGAACTGTAGGCAATTTTCTACAGATTTGCAGTCAAGGTTTGCCGGACGATATGGCTGACAGTTCTCTGCCCAGACAATCCAGAACAGGTAGCATGCAGCCAGTCTCTGGTCTCATAGGGCTTCACTGTCAGGCCCGTTTGCGCTGGTGTTGGCAACACGTGCACTGGAACCTGAACATGTTGAGGAACATTATGTTCAGCGATGAGTCCAGATTCTGCCTACGGCAGTTGGATCTTAGGGTCAAAGTGTGGAGAAGACGCAGAGAACTCTTTGTTGATTGCAAAACATAATTTAGCCACCTAAAAAGATCTTACTAAAAATAAATCACTATCCGTTAAGTGTACGCTGCATTTGGAATATTTTCTCTGCTTTACACAATAACCAATCAAGGCAGCTGTAGACCAACAACTCCCCTGTTCTGCTAAGTTAAATACTGTTCTTGTCAAGGGAGTGTGGTGGCTTTTAGATAATGGCTTCAGTCTTGTTGGAAAGTGCTGTCTGACAGCAAGGTAAAGCAGTTAAAACATTCTGAATGTAGCATACACTTTAACTGACAATGATTTTTTAGGTGGGACTTTTTTTAAAGCAGCTGTGCGGAACTTTACGTTTTCATTGAATATAGTGCCCCCTTTGGTCGAAGCGGTATGACACCCACAGCCTGGTGTCGTAAAATTCCGACTGCAGCCGGCATTCGGTTTCATTCGTAAAATCTCGACTGCAACAGGCAGTTACTGCATGCATTTGTTTTGGAGAGCGAGAGGAAAATTATAAATGTTCTGGTGTAGCTCTGAATTTCTTATAAACTGAGGACAACTGCCTGCTGTATATTTGTGTTCATGGTCACAGTCACAGATCATTTTGTGGCGTTTGTTTTAACGTTACTAGACAAAAGCGGTTTGCATCAGTTAACGTTACATTTAGCTTGCTTATAACTTCCATGTCGTCATGTATTGAAGTGAAACAACGTCTAACAAGTTGCGGTATATTCTCTAAATAAAAACAAAAATTACATACCTGTTGATTAGGAAAAGGGCCAACTCAGGATCAGTTTTAAAACCTTTCAAATCTCTCAGCTCTCTCCACTTGGTGAATGCCCGACCGAGGTTCACACGCATTTTGGCTCGAGCCCTATCACTGTCCCGTTTAGCCTTCTTCTGTTCTTTTTCTTTTAGATGGTGCTCCTTCGTTATCTGCCATGACATTGAAAGTACAACCAAGTCCTTATAGATACATCTGGTAAAACTCTCATGTGTTCAGCAATGCCCGTTGCGTACCACTTACTCGAAGAACACTCTCTGTAAACACTCTCTATAAACACAGCTCTTCTTCTTCTCTCAATTTATTGGCAGATCACAAACAACTTCCAGGTGCATACCACCACCTACTGTACAAGAGCCTGTTTCTTAAATCCTACTCATAAACACGGCTCCTTTTTCTGTGGTTTAATGGCTGCGGGCCGCTGAAGGCGTGCAGACTTGCTTCTGCCTCCGGGTGCCGTATTCTGGTTTGCTGACTTCCGCTGTGTCCACCCCGACCGAGGCTACGCTAAATAGCCATATAGAAAAAGGCTTTTTTTTGTCGCTGTTGGGTTCAAATAAATATGCGGCTCTTCAAGGGGGGGTGATATGAACTAGGGACAGTTTTATGAATGGTAAAAAGTTCTGCACAGCTGCTTTAATGTGGCTGAAAACTAACCAATTGAGGCAGCATTTGCTCAACACAATCCATTTTAAGTACTTGACCTTGGGGGTTTTGGGAGTTATTGTAAACAAATATTAGGTCTATACAGTCTGGAGCTGCTTCGTAAAATGAGTTTTATTTTATTGTAGTTTTTTTAGTTCTGAAACAGAAAATATTCCCATCTACTCAGAACACTCTCTCAGTGTCATCTAAAACATCCTCCCCAATCCACCCTTTGTCAAGACCCACCCATGGTCCTGCCCCCCTTGGTTAGTGCTGCTGGGTTCGACAAACCAAGCCTCACGGGGGATCATTCCCATAGGAAACAATGGAAAATACCGGGAGATTTAACTTTTTCGTAATTCAAATTGAATTGATCATTCTGTCCAAAACACAGTGTCAGTGATAGAGAACAAACGTGGCTACAGTTGAGTGAACAGGCATTACGTGACATATCCGAAAACTTGTGAAAATCGTTGTTTTGTCCCGATGTCTGACGGTAGCCATGGCCACAAACGTGAGCTGCCCCCCCCCCCCCCCCCCCCCCCCCCCCCCCCCCCCCCCCCCCCCCCCCCCCCCCCCCCCCCCCCCCCCCCCCCCCCCCCCCCCCCCCCCCGCATTTGCTAGCTCTCTCGCCCATGTCGTCTCCACAGACGTACCCCTCAAGTCTGTCAGTGACCATTTCTGGAGCCAGGGATCACAAATATTATCAAAATGTCGGCAACAGGGCCTTCAGTATGCAGTGGAGTCTTATATACACAGTGTTGCAGACACCCCAAGCACACCTTTTAACCACATTAAAATAATATAACTCACTGATTTATCCGCGTTTGCTAGCTAGAAAGCTCTGCGTTTCACTGTGACGCCATTAACAATGAGCCTGGGAGAACACAGCCCAGGGCGGTGTTTGACGAACCCCAGTAAGTTAGCAACTGTTGCTATGGCGAGGAGCGCTCTGGTTGGTGGGTCAGCAGACCAATCAGAAGGCCAACAAAGGGTCAATTCATTGTCTATGGAGCAGCTCCAGACTTTATACCTTATGACATCACAAAGATGAGTTTTAGCACTCTTACTTTTGGATTTGAAAGAGAGTTGTACATGTTCACTAACATTTTTTGACTGGTCTAGACCATATGGATAACATGTATGAATTTTTAAAATGGGCATAGTTCCCCTTTTAAGTCCTTGTAGTTCAGAGAAGAGCCATGAGGAGAAAAGGGCCTTTAATTGTGGCATCATGTGTGATCTTGTTAGTTACTATGAAATGCAACATATGAAGAGATGAATTTCTGACGACGTAAAGAGGTGTGTGACTGTTTTTTTTAACCTTTGTTGTGGGTGTGTTAGTAGGAGTGCCTGAGGGATGCCTCAGCAGGGTGTGAATGTGTTAAGGTTTAGTTGTGTATTTGCATTGTCATAAGTTTGAATAATAACGCAGGTGTGTTACTCAAACAATCAGTGATGCAAATGACCCCCCCCCCCCCCCACATTTTAACCTTAAAGTTATAAGTGTATTTAACTAAATTAATTAACTGCCCCTAACACACCTGGCATCTGTACCTGATGTTGTATCTGCTGCGTCCTGCCTGTCATCACTTTCCTATACACACATACCTTTGTCACTCCAGAAACACACAGAAATGTGCTCTGCCCGGAGGGACTGAAGGTATTTGATGAGGTGAAGATAAGTGGTTATCTGCAGGAAGAAACCAGAGATAATGCAGTATCACTAACGCTCTTCTCTTTGTTTTTACATTTCTGTTAATCAGTTTAATCAGTTTATTTTGCCGTTGTGAGATGGAAAGATGAAAGACACAGACAGAAATCTTTTTCAAAGCGAGGAATATCATTACATTTATTTGCTGACACTCCTATATGTTAAGAGTGAAAAAGTCCAACGTACATTACACACATCAAAGCTTTGTGAGATTGACTTTGTAAACCAGACAACCATGCTGTGTTTGTCTGCCCAGAGTAGTTTAGTGAAAGAGACTGACACACCCTCACTGTGTTTCCACCTGTGTTTCCTCTCACTTCAACTGTTAGGAATTTAAACGCATGCCAATAATTCCCTGCCACGTTAAATGCTGCCATGTAAACTATGAAAATAATCTTGAGGATGTTACTGATCCCTTTTAATCACAGTTAGCTTCGACCTCGCTGACCTTTCACACCCTGAAGGACCAGAGTGCAGCCTTACATGTAGATTTACAGCTGTGTCTATGTAATGGTTGTCACTGGTTGTATTTCTCTGTAATGTTTTGTCTTTCTCTCAGGTCTCAGTGTGTCAGTCAGGTCAGTCCACCATTTTGGTTCAGACTGAAATGTCTCAGTGTCCAGGCCTATTAGATGAACTGCCACGAAGTCTTGTACAGAGGATCGTGGTCCTGTGAGGATGAACCATAATGACTGTGGTGATATCCTGATGTTTCTTTATTGAGGTTAACATTTTTGTTTTTTATTAAAATATCTCGACAGCTACTGGATAGATTGCACTGACTGTGTTTCAGACACTCATGTCGTCCTCAGGATAAA